GACTGGAATTTACTGCCGTAAATAATAACATATCGGCAAAATTTTGGAACGAGTTGAAAGTGTATAAATGATTGAATATACGTAACTCAATGAAACGCCAAAGCTAGTAGTATTGAAAACAACAAATGAAATATGTTATACATACATAGCCGATAATTGTAAACAATTGAGTACCTGTCAAGCAAACAATTGTAACACAATTCAAAATGGCGGGAAACAGATAGCACGTTTTTTTCCGCCTCAATACATCAAATACAACTTCACAACATGTTGAAAGTAATATGAAAAGAATACATCACCCATCGCAGATGAATTTAGAATGGTAGACGAATTGGAAGGTCTAAATAAATCCAAAACCGAGAGCTCCGCTGGAAGCGTCCTAGCTGTGTCGCGACAGGCAGTGATGTGAAGAATTGACCTTTGGTCACGTGAGGTCACGGGACAGCGACGGCGTGGTGTAAAAGTGGGATTGTGGCACAGAGCCTTCACCCAAGGACCATCGCCGGTACGCTGTCTTGGGTTTTTTTTGTCGCAAGGTAAGCAGTGAATGCATTAAGGAGTAATGCAGGATAAGTAAAAAATTTGTGAATTTGGCACTTTGAAAGACAGTTTAATTAGAGACAGAATTGTTTGTGGTGTCTACAATAGTACATATCGTGAGAGATTGCTCAGAGATGATAAGTTAACTTTGACAAAAGCTATTGATTCAATTAGAGCAGCAGAAATGGCCAGTTTGCAAGCTAAAGAAGTAAGTGAAGATGCATCTGTTAATTATGTCAAATCCAAGCCAAAACACAACAAAACAAAACAGAACTATAGAAAACCTGAAAAAAATGAACATTGTGGTAGATGTGGTAATTACACACACAAGCAAGGTGATAAATGCCCTGCATCTGGTTAAACATGTTTGAAATGTGGTCATATGGGACATTTTGCAGCTCAATGTAAAACACCGTCAAGTCGGTCCAGTCGCCCAAAGTCGAGAAATATTCACGAAATTTGCGCCACCAACCAGCAACCACCAATAGAATCAGATTTCTTCGTAGATGTGTTGGATTCTGAGCCGATTGAAGATTCACAAACAAAAGCATGGGTAAAGAATCTTGACCTTAATGGAACACAAGTAACCCTCAAGCTAGATAGCGGAGCAGATATGAACATCATGGGTTATTCACAGTGGCGCAAACTGCAGTACCAGCCACCCCTTGAACCTGCAAGGTGAACCTTAGAGCGTATGGCAGAACTAAAGTACCTGTAAAGGGACAGGCAGAAGTGACAATCACTTACAAAGGCAAGCCATACAAGACAGTATTTGCAGTTACGCCAGACAACCATAGATCAATCCTGGGAGTCCAAAACTGTGAACGATTGAACCTCATCCGCCGTGTCTACGAAATCAACGTAGATCAAGTCATCAAAAGTGAATCTTCATTCAGTTCATCAGATATTCTATCAGAATATGAAGATGTTTTCACCGGACTAGGCTGTCTACCAGGTGAACATACCATTACAGTTGACAATAACGTCAAACCAGTAATAGAAGCATGTCGAAAAGTTCCCTTCGCACTTCATGAACAGCTAAAAGAAGAGCTTGACAGGATGATATCTCTTGGAGTCAACACAGAGGTGACCGAGCCCACTGAATGGGTCAGTTCAATAGTGATCGTGCACAAGAAACAGGGCAAGCTCAGGATTTGCCTTGACCCGAGAAATCTCAAGAAGTCCCCCAGCTCTCTGAACACATACAGGGGACTGACACAAGTATGGATGATATGATAATATGGGGTAATGACAAGTCACAACATGATAAGAGACTGAGAATGGTCCTTGAGAAGTGTAGAAATGTTGGGCTGAAATTGAACAGAGATAAATGCGAAATAGGAGTATCTGAACTAACCTTCTTGGGAGATCGTCTTACAACTGATGGCCTGAAAGTCAAAGCCATCATGGATCTGAAGAAACCCACTGACAAGAGGGAGCTTCAACAGTTCATGGGTATGGTGAACTACCTCGGAAGATACATACGTGATCTATCGGCAAAGTCAGCTCCATTGAGACAGTTGTTGGAAAAGAATGTTCAGTGGTCATGGTCACATCCTCAAGACAAGGCGTGGACTGAACTCCGAACCTTGATATCTCAACAACCAGTTCTCAGATTCTACGACTCAATAAAGCCCATCAAAGTTTCAACAGACGCATCACAAAGTGGTCTGGGTGCAGTACTACTTCAACAGCACAGCGACACCTGGTGTCCAGTAGCCTATGGTTCACGAGCTATGACCTCAGCCAAAATTTGATATGCTCAAATAGAGAAGGAAGCTCTTGGAATATGTTTTGGAGTAGAACGCTTTCATCAGTATGTTTATGGCAGAACTTTTATAGCTGAAACCGACCATAAACCGCTAGAACCGATCTTCAGGAAGGCACTGAATGACAGTCCACCCAGAATTCAACGATTTAGACTTCGTCTACAGAAGTATGACAGGGATGTCACATTTACACCAGGCAAAGAAATGTACGCAGTAGATGCGTTATCTCGCAACTTTCCCAAAGAGGGTGAAATTACAAGTGCAACTGAAGCAGAAATGCAGATGTATGTAGACAGTGTGATGTCAAATCTACAAATATCAACTGATCGACTCTCACAAATCAGAGATGAGATCAAGAACGACACTGAAATGACAACACTCAGCAATGTCATTCTCACAGGTTGGCCCAATGAGCCTGCTGATTGTCTGCAGATTCTCACTGACTACTGGAATTATAGAGATGAACTCTCTATCATCAATGGTGTTATCTTTAAAGGTAACAGAGTCGTCGTTCCAATCCATCTTCGTCAAACAATGCTTCAGAAGATACATACAGATCACCTTGGTCAAGAAAAGTGCACGCAACGTGCTAGAGAGGTGCTATTCTCAATTTCTGGCCAAGAATGAACCATGAGATAGACATTATGGTAAGCAGCTGTGACACATGCCTGACACATCGACATCGGCAGAGAGCCGAACCTATGATTTCCCGTCCAGTAGCAACAAGGCCATGGGAACAAGTATCGACAGACTTATTCGAGTTATCGTGACAAGACTACATAGTCATCGTCGACTCATATTCCAACTACCCTGAAGTGATTGCGTTGTCAAGTCAAACAAGTCAAGCCGTCACCAAAGCTCTAAAATCAACATTCGCGAGGCATGGTATACCTGATGAGCTTTACCGACATAATGGACCATGTTTTGCCAGTGCAGAATTTGCTTAGTTTGCAAATACTTGGCAATTCAAACACATCACATCAAGCCCAAGGTACCCTCAGTCAAATGGGTTGGCTGAGGGAACAGTACAGACTGTTAAACACATCAGAAAGAAATGCATCCAGAGCGGAGAAGACCCTCATCTCGGGATCCTTGCATATCACTGTACACCGCTGGATGGCAGATTCTCACCATCACAGTTACGGATGAATTGTTGACTAAGATCAAACCTCCCTCTGAAATCATCAATATTACAAATGAACACTCCAGACCAACAAGCAGTAGCAGCACATAAGTATGAAGCCCGAGAAAAACGGAAACACTCCTTTGACAAGAATGCTGAAATAGCTCCTCTACCTCAACTCCAACCAGGTAACAATGTCAGAGTACACAATGAGACCACAAACAACTGGAACACCAAGGGAGCAGTAATCCAGGAAGTAGCACCAAGGTCATACTTGGTGAAAACAGATTCTGGTGGAATCATCAGAAGACATCGCAGAGATCTGCTACTCCCCAAGCAGATAGTCAACAAGCAGCCACAACAGTCTACAACAGCTCCGATGCAACAACAGCAACAGCAAGTTAACAACACTGATATTACAACAAGCCGTTCCGGCAGAGTGATCAATAAGCCAGAAAGACCGATTGAAAATGACTGATATGTGTTTACAAATGTGTTCAAAAACTTTCAAAGGACTGTTCAGATAACTTTTTAAAGTTCACAGAATGTATGTGTTCAAGTCATTTCCACAAGTTTAACATAAAGTTAAAATACTCATTTATCATGCTAGGAGTTAAAGCAAACTCATATCATGGACTCTAAAGTATTGAGTTTGAGCAATATAGTTTATATATTCTGTTGTGTTGCTTTAAGTTTTAAAGAAAAGCTTTATTAACTTTAGAGGGGAGATGTAGCAGGAAGTCAATGTATCTAATGTGTTTACATTATAGCATGTTCCACCAGAGTGCTATGTACACAGTCATAGCTAGTTGTTGTACCAGCACTGTACTGTAGATCATTGGGAGTTATTCCCCTTTAGTTGATTAAACATGGCTATAAACCAGACATGTGCTTTTGACTCACTAGAAAGTTGAATCTCCTAAACAGAAGTTCCAGAAGTCAATAAGACCATTACAGTAGCTACGGCTGAATATATCAAATTCTTTGGTCTGAAAAGATTGTACCGTACGAAGGTGATCATTTCCTTCCCCTGGGTGTCGTATATCGACAGAAAAGATGAAAAGGGGAGCCTCGTTTCTGCGCATGTGGGATGTCTACTGAAGTCAGTGACTCTGCCACATTGATGTGCAGTGACAGGCGTCTGATCGAGTGGTTGCAGCATTACATACAAGTAAGCATGCAAACCAATCTGTACAAATACAAAGCATGGCTAGCATAGGTCAGTTGACCTATTTCCAGTAAGGTCGGGATGTTTACAGTCAGAGTTATTGACACATGATATTTAAATTACCCTGCACAGTAACCTTGAAGTGAACATTACTTTTGCAAACTTAGGTGGTGTTTCATAGTAGTGAATCATAATGCTAAGATTTCTCCTGAATTAATCTGAAATTTTGTGAAATTGAAACGATTTTGCAACGTGAAAACTGCCAATTTTAGACAGGCAACTATTTCTTTTACAACTATCCCTAAGAAATTTTGAAGAATCACAATAAACCATTCTCTTTGACAAAACTTCAGTTACATATCTTACGGTAACATATCCACGAAGTCAACTTCCAACTTACCGGCCTTCCAGCAAGTGAGGAATGGACTTTGCTTGAATCTCAGTCATGTAGGTAAAGCCCATATCTTCTATTCCTTTCAAGGAGTTGTCTGCAACTTTGCCCTTCAGACTTGCAAACGACAAGTCTGTCACAATGCCTGCTCCAACACTGCTTCCTGGCACTGAAATATGGCACAACCAGAGTCTCACATCAACTCCTAGACAAAGTCAGGGCAGGCAATTGATGATGATTCATTACATTCTGTAGCTCAGCTGGATTTATGTGGACTGTGAAATTATTTTAAAGTAAGAAAAACATATTATTGCAAATAACATAAAAACTATTTTTTCAAATCCTCTGACAAATAAAGTGTGGCCACATTTGTGTGTTAAACTAATGGCAGGGAAAAACTGGGAAAAATTTCCTGGAGCTTATAGGCTGACTTATAGGAAAGACACATGAACATTTGAAAACATTTTACTAATCTCTAAAAAGAAAACAGATGTTTCTATTTCAATGGCCACATTATAAGCATCGATCTACGCAAATGGGATAGGAAGGCCTGCATCAAGCAAGTCAGTGAGGCTGACCACCCAATCCCATTGGTCGCCACTTACAACAAGCATAGTCTGTGCGTTTGTGCATGCGTGCGTGCGTGCACGAGCGCGTCGTGTCTCTGTGTGTGTAGACGCACTACCATTAGACCACAAAGGCAGTCTCAAAGACAGGGAATAAGCTCTACTGGTTTTCAAGCAATAATTGGACTATATCAATATGGGAAGTCTCTTGATTCTTACACTGTGATATTTCCATTGTCTGAACAGTGTTCCCTCCCTCATCTTCTCCAGACTCGCTTGACCCGTCATCATCAGTATCTGTATTGCCGCGATCAGCGCTGACATCAGCAGTTGAACAAATCTTCTTGGCTGCTTCTGAGAAAAAGAAATCTTGTATGTGGTCATTTACACTAAGTCAAAACACATTGTAGCCCACCTGCCTAATTACACAACAAGTTCAAGTGTCTGTTAAATATCAAGCATCAGGATAAAAAAAAGTACCAAATTCTAAATCCCACAGATGATGAAGACTGCATTTTCAAGAAAATTTCATCTAGTAACTCAATATTCAAACAAAACAGAGAAATTAATGTTGTGCTCAACAATCAAATTGATGACAAAAGATGACAGGGTCAAATGTGATCCAAGCAACTAAATTGCAAAAATGTGACAGAACAGATTCATGTGGATCTCCTTTACAGAAGTACCAACAGATTGATGGCTATATAGCTGGCAATTTACCATCGTTTTCTTTGTAAGTCCCTTTACCAGTTTTATTCCTATTTTAATCATGATTTTATTTTCACACTCCAACTTTCAATCGTCCAGCTGGTGCCATTTTTATTGTCCTGCGTAATCACCAGAAGCCAGTTAGCGCCAGCGACCAACAAACTGGGCTTCTGACCAGTGAGGGGCCACCTGGAAAACCTTGTTGACAGCGAGGCTTTTAACCCCTTGAATCCTCACATTTGAGTAGATGATGGTTACCTTAACCTTGCAAATTCATCTGCATGTGTAAATGTGTATCAACAATTATGTAGTATGGTATACAGAAAAGATGTGTACATATTATTTTTGTAACAATGAAATTCAGTTCATATACTCAACAGTAACCACTCTTATTTTTCAGACAAATTCCATTTAATACAACAGTTACTACTCCCTTCTTGTCATCCATGTTTCATGTTTCTCTACCTGTGTACTTATCGTCATTCACTTGATGTTCAGTTAATGACTTTTACAGGTATAATTGGTGGTAGAACTACTCAGATTACCTGACAAAGACTGCAAAATATCTCAGTAACATTCACCACTGCCTATAAGGGTGTCAAGGTAATGGAGCACTCAGAGGTTTGTATTGTGTCTGGGGGAATTATTTAATCTATGATTGGGTTATATATCCAGATCTCATGTGGTGAATGTACTGGCAGTGCAGCAAGAGAGGGATGATCAGTAGAGTTGCAAAAAACATTGATCAAAGGATTAACTGTTAATAAGTTCATTGATTAATCACTGTTATCTAGAGCAGTGGATTTGTCAAAACTAGTAAAATCCCAGATATTTTTTTATATTTGTATACTTATCCTGCATTACTCCTTAATGCATATTACTTGCTTGTTTCTTGACAGAGAAAAGAGCTGTGTGAAGGTCTTTGCTTGAAGAAGTTGTTCCAACTAGCTGAGAGGCCAACCCTATCACGCAGCTCCCACATGACCAAAGGAAGTGACGTCACAGATCCTCACATGACTCTGGAGTCAAAACATCTGAAGGCATGGTGGGGAGGTAGATCTGCGATGGGTGGGTCCCTTCAGACGCAGTAATGCAGGATAAGTATACAAACATAAAAAATATCTAGGATTTTACTAGTTTTTTTTACTCATCCTGCATTACTCCTTAATGCATCTTTATCGGACAGAAACGGTGGAGGGCATACCTTCAGATGTGGACTTTAATCTTTTATTTCCAGACTCCCTGGCCTGCCTTGGCTATGTGGTCGGCATCGGGTGACCACTCCATGTACGGGAACCTTCAACTCCCTCAGCCCATCTTCGGCTGTATGGTCGGCCTGGATGACTATTACATGGATGGGAAGAGTCAGGTATGCGTTGTGTCCTGGTACTACGCAGCCTGACTCAGTTAGGTCGAGACTGGAGCACCGAGCCGTATGCAAGTGGGGCATGAACCTTCTAGTCCAGGGCATACGCAAGGGGAGGTCGAAAGGCCGGCTCTGGACTAAGAGGCGAGGTCAGTAACGTGTAGTAGTGGTGACCTGTTGGGCCACTACTAACGGACCAAAGCTATGCGTGCCTTGCACGTCCTCAAATGCGACGTCTCGCAGGTAGTGACTGGTGAATACTGTGTTGGATTGCCAGAAACACCCCTCCATGTGTAGAGAGCAGTTGCTGTGTTGCGCCATGGTGGAGGTGACCGCCCGGATCTAATGTGGGTTGTTGGAGCGCTGAGGGTCCAATCTTGCGGCCAGGTAGGCCTGAAGAATCATGGCTCGTAGCCAGAGGGCGATCGTGTTGTGGCTGACTTCCGCCTCGCAAGGTCGGAGATACCAGTACAAAGAGGCGTCGGCGTCGTCGTTGTCTACAGCATTCCTTGGATCGTCTGATGTAGCAACAGAACTGCCAGTACGGAGTTGCACGCCACAAGGTAGGTCATGATGGTACTGCCCTTGAGCTTACGCTTGTGGCGCAGATGGAGCATGAACTCAGCCAAGAATTGAGGCGATACAGATGTGGGGTCCTGTTGTTTGCCCTTGCAAAAGCTTGCAAAAGTCGAAGGATTGCCACTTGTCATCATAGAGGCTACTGGTGATTGGGCGATGCGCCATCGATGCGCCGAGTAGCCCTTGGCGTTCAGTGATCTCTATAAATGGACCAGATGTGAAGACACACTGCTTGTCTGGTCCTGGGTGTGGCTGCCTGCTGTGAGGGTGGATCAGCAGATTTGGCCAATCTGGTAGTGGCAGTGGGTTGGCGTCGGACAGCTCTCTGAGGTCGGCCAACCAAGCCCTCGCTGGCCACCAGGACACGACCAAAGTCCGATCGAGGTTCTGCGTCAAATGATCTTCTGGATGACTTTGGGGAGGAGTACAGGTGGCGGAAAAGCGTACACTTTTAGTCCTTCCCAGGGGACGCTGAAAGCGTCGACTGCCCAAGCCAGGGGATCCAGGACCGGTGATATGTAGGTCAGAACCTGGTAGTTCTGGCTGGTGGCGAATAGGTCCATGTTGGGGAGACCGTGGTATCGACAAACTAGAGTGAAGACATCTGTGTGAAGCTTCCACTCTGTGGGGGTGACTTTGCCTGGCTGAGATAGAGCATTCGCTAGGAAAAAATCGGAACGTCTGCTGCAGGAGCGAGGTCAAATGAGTCATTCCCTGGTTCCCTAAACACCATAAGACGGTTATGTTGTCCGTCGAGATGGAGAGCCAGGGGTGTCTAAGGGACATGGATTCCCATGAAGATGAAGCGGAGGAATTTCCAGTGGTGGGGATGTATAGGGAAATGTAGATAGTCGTTTTCGATATCCAGGCTGATGAGCACATCCTGCGCTGGATCCGTGATCGCAGTAGCCTGAGCGTGGTCATCCTGAAATAAGGTGGACGCGCCAGGTAGTGTTTGTTGAAAGCAGCGAGGTTGTGGATCATCCTGTGTTTGTTCGAGTCCCTTTTGGGGACCAGGAATACAGGTGAATAGAAGCCTCGTGTTATGGCTGGGGCGTGTACTACCTCTATGGCTTTCTTGTCAGTAGCTGCTGTTGAGTAGGTGGGTATGTGTCCACTATGGGGGACGACGTGAGTGGTGTGGCGTTTGTAAGCGTCAGCTTGTACCCGTGTCGGATTATCTTGGTGACATATGGGTCCCCCAGGATCTCCCAATTCTGCCAGAAGTGACTCAGTCTCCCACCTACTTGGGTGTCGACAACTTGGACAGCTGGGGGTGGGAGGTCCCAGTCGTGCCTGTCTGGCGATTCATTTGAGGTCCCTGCGGCCTGCGTTACCTCCCTTGGGGTAGCCGTGGCGGGACTGGTATGCGCCCGAGGACTTTCTTGTGACAAGAGGTAGACGACGTCTGTGTTAAGATCTGCTGTCACTCAGACGTGAAGACATACTTGTGGAAGCCGAGTCCATGCAGTGACAAGAGGTAGACAACGTCTGTGTGGTCGACCGCCGAGGCGGAGGCACTATAGAATATATAGGCATCGTCTGAAAGGGCGCTTGAAGAGGCACTAGGAGAGACGTCTGTAAAGGCGCTAGCGTTGAAGGCTGCCTGGTCTGTAAGTACTGAATGTACTGAAGGGGCGAGGCGTCTATCATGGTTGTCTGTGCCGTAGGCGGGGGCCCCTGTGGGAGACCAAGGGTCTGTCCAGAGGATAGTAAAGGCGCCTCCTAGTAAGCGAGCGCCACGCCGGGCGTCAAGGAGTCCCGCCGCCGTAAAGATAGATGCTGTAGTGGTCAGTGGAGACTGCGACCGTGGGGTACGATATCAAGGTAGTAGTTGAGGTCGGGGGGTACTCATTCAAGATGACCGATCTTGCGGGGGAATTCTCGGAGAGGTCTGACATCCTGCGCCAGTGTTTCCTGGCCTGCTGTGTTCTGCGTTTCTTAGAAACAAGGAGATACTGACAGAAAGCTGTGGGTGAAAGCAGTATACAGTCTTTACATCAGTGACCCTGGAGGCATTGAGATGTACAATTAAGGCACAGGGGGTTGGGATCCCAACATATTACGCTGGCACTTTGAGCAGGAGGGCATGATATCTGCAATGTGGCAGTGTAAAATCACATTGCATCCCCACCCGATTATGTATGCTATAATTTGTTTATCCCAGTGTGTGGGTTTATGATACAAATATTACGACAAACGTAAGACAACATACAACAAAAACAAACGATACTTGCGAGTATATGCCAATCGTGGGGCACCAAGCAAAAGAGTATAGAACGCAAGCCAGTTCATTAACTGCTGGCCACGTAAAATATTCAACATGGCTACTTGGAACAACAAGACACCTGGCATTATGTTTTCTTTTGAGAAAACACCAGTAAGTGTCTAATAACGTTATGCACATGTTTATCAAACATAGAATGTACAAAATATGAACCGTAGGCACAACACAAAGACAAAAAACATTAACTCAAAGAGCCAACACCTGAGGGTTTGAATAAGTTAATGCTACAGCAAAAACAGGTCTTCACTCAACAAGTGACAAGAGTAATGTTTTGATCCGTGATGTCACTTCCTTTGGTAACGTGGGAGGTGCGTGATAGTGTTGCCCTCTCAGCTGGTTGGAACAACTTCTTCAAGCAAAGACCTTTCACACAGTTCTTTTCTCTGTCAAGAGCAAGCAAGTAATATGCATTAAGGAGTAATGGAGGATGAGTAAAAAATGTAAGTGTTAATATATGTAGGTTTACTAAAGTAGACAGAATACACACATATCTGGGCATGAAGTGCTGATGAAAAAATAACATTCTTTGTTCAAAGGATTAGCCTGTATTACATTGATTGATTGCTCATTGTTTTCTAACTGTATGGACTTTCAAAAAGAACTGTGGACATCATGAACATAGTTCACATGTGACACCTATGTGAAACACCCAAACAAACTTCTGTGGTCAGTGGGGTCATAATATCCCGAAACACTATATGTATTTTAATATATTAGATTGTTACACAGACACGTGACAACGGACAAGTTTCTTTGTACAGCTGCAGATGTATGTGACATTGTTCCTTTATGTGGATATCAACATTTCTCAAAGAAGGTAACTGCCTGATTTTATACATGTAACGTTTGTCGGTTGTAATTATGATATTTGCATTTTGTTTTCATTCATTTGCTGTAGCAAGAATGTGGGAGGACTCAACAGTGACTGATCAAATTGTTCCATATGTTAAAACATATCTGGCAATAGCAATCAGTTGTTCCAAAGTGCTATGCTTATGGTTATTATTATTTTAAACATATATAGTAAAAGATGAAACTAAAATAACTGAATGTTGGAATATTTTATATCTGATAAAATAATAGTTTCAGATACTATTCATCTGATCATTTGTGATGATATACAGCTTCTCATTCCTCAATCCTCCAATAGGTGCTTGCGCAGCAAGAATAGCGCCGAACACAAATCGAACCAGTCAGAATTTTAGTCCTTAATAAGCATATTTTGAATCCTCGAAGAATATACCCATGGATATGTCAAGACCTTCAAACTTGGAGTGTTGTCTCCCTTTACGCTCACTTGGTCACTCAATTTTTTTTCTTCAAATATTTGCCAAGTAAACACAAGTCATCTTCCCGAGGCAAGAGAGTTAACTGACTTTAAAAGTCCAGTTTCCACCCTTGCTGAACTAGGCTGGAATTCCTGGGTTCGATCGTAGAGCCACCAGTGGCTATTACAAGTTATGTCCCTTCTATGCTTCTCCTATGGTCCAATCAGATTCCACTGTCATAACAGTTGTGATAAAACAGGTCTAACATCGCAAAGTGCATCAAATCACGTGAGCACCTTGATTAAAAACATGAAAATATTTGGAAAATATCTGTTGACAACGAGTTGGCGGTGCACATACTTTGCAAATCCTTCAATCGACCGAAATCAACATCACAGTTTACAAACCAGATTTCGATTTTGTTGTGCGATTGTGATTGGACTATGCATAGACTCGTCAGTCCAGCCAAAATGTAACTCCATAATACCAGCCTAGTTCGGCAAGGGTGGAAACTGGACTTTTATAGTCAATTAACTCTCTTGCCTCAGGAAGATGACACACGTTAACGTGTTCCAAAGATCCACTCACCTGCTCCCTTGTTCTCTAGTGACATCGATGGCTTTCGCTTTCTGCTGGTACCACCAACTTTTCTCGTCCCCTCTCTACCTGAATATGAAGTTCAGCTTCATCTAAATATTGTCTATGATAAAATTCGGATATTCAGCAGTTTTATCAATCACATTGTAAAAGCAAATATAATGTGTGTGGAGTAAGCTATTTTCGGTACACTTTATCACTGACCATATTTATTATATAAATGCAAAATAAATGCAGAATGCCCAAAATATGTTCTGCTACTTAATACTTATGAACTGTTCATATATTACAATTATATAAATAATCCATCATGTCTATGTCCCAAAAGAAATTCAAAAATTATCTTCACGATGCAGACATCTTTCTGAAAACATCATAAGCTGTCATGCCATGGGCAGTGTCAGTAGACTGTAGAATGTCAACATGAAGTGAACCAGACTGATCACATGGCAAATGTCAGTAGACTGGTCCACTCCATGTTGACATTCTACAGACTGATCACATAGCAAATGTCAGTAGACTGGTTCACTCCAAGTTGACATTCTACAGACTGATCACATGGCAAATGTCAGTAGACTGGTCCACTCCATGTTGACATTCTACAGACTGATCACATAGCAAATGTCAGTAGACTGGTTCACTCCAAGTTGACATTCTACAGACTGATCACATAGCAAATGTCAGTAGACTGGTTCACTCCAAGTTGACATTCTACAGACTGATCACATGGCAAATGTCAGTAGACTGGTCCACTCCATGTTGACATTCTACAGACTGATCACATAGCAAATGTCAGTAGACTGGTTCACTCCATGTTGACATTCTACAGACTGATCACATAGCAAATGTCAGTAGACTGGTTCACTCCATGTTGACATTCTACAGGCTGATCACATGGTAAATGTCAGTAGACTGGTTCACTCCATGTTGACATTCTACAGACCGTATCACATGGTCAATGTTAGTTTACTGGTCCACTCCAAGTTGACATTCTACAGGCTGATCACATAACAAATGTCAGTAGACTGATTCACTCCAAGTTGACATTCTACAGACTGATCACATAGCAAATGTCAGTAGACTGGTCCACTCCATGTTGACATTCTACAGGCTGATCACATAGCAAATGTCAGTAGACTGGTTCACTCCATGTTGACATTCTACAGACTGATCACATAGCAAATGTCAGTAGACTGGTTCACTCCATGTTGACATTCTACAGGCTGATCACATAGCAAATGTCAGCAGACTGATTCACTCCAAGTTGACATTCTACAGACTGATCACATAGCAAATGTCAGTAGACTGGTCCACTCCATGTTGACATTCTACAGGCTGATCACATGGTAAATGTCAGTAGACTGATTCACTCCATGTTGACATTCTACAGGCTGATCACATGGTCAATGTTAGTTTACTGGTCCACTCCAAGTTGACATTCTACAGGCTGATCACATAACAAATGTCAGCAGACTGATTCACTCCAAGTTGACATTCTACAGGCTGATCACATAGCAAATGTCAGTAGACTGGTTCACTCCATGTTGGCATTCTACAGACTGATCACATGGTAAATGTCAGCAGAATGGTTCACTCCATGTTGACATTCTACAGACTGATCACATATCAAATGTCAGTAGACTGGTTCACTCCATGTTGACATTCTACAGGCTGATCACATAGCAAATGTCAGTAGACTGCTTCACTCCATGTTGACATTCTACAGGCTGATCACATAGCAAATGTCAGTAGACTGGTTTACTCCATGTTGACATTCTACAGGCTGATCACATAGCAAATGTCAGTAGACTGATTCACTCCATGTTGACATTCTACAGACCGTATCACATGGTCAATTATGTTTACTGGTCCACTCCAAGTTGACATTCTACAGGCTGATCACATAACAAATGTCAGTAGACTGGTCCACTCCAAGTTGACATTCTACAGGCTGATCACATAGCAAATGTCAGTAGACTGGTTCACTCCAAGTTGACATTCTACAGACTGATCACATAGCAAATGTCAGTAGACTGGTTCACTCCAAGTTGACATTCTACAGACTGATCACATAGCAAATGTCAGTAGACTGGTTCACTCCATGTTGACATTCTACAGACTGATCACATAACAAATGTCAGCAGACTGATTCACTCCATGTTGACATTCTACAGACTGATCACATAGCAAATGTCAGTAGACTGGTTCACTCCATGTTGACATTCTACAGGCTGATCACATAGCAAATGTCAGTAGACTGGTTCACTCCATGTTGACATTCTACAGGCTGATCACATAGCAAATGTCAGTAGACTGGTTCACTCCATGTTGACATTCTACAGACTGATCACATAGCAAATGTCAGTAGACTGGTTCACTCCATGTTGACATTCTACAGGCTGATCACATAGCAAATGTCAGTAGACTGCTTCACTCCAAGTTGACATTCTACAGACTGATCACATAGCAAATGTCAGTAGACTGGTTCACTCCATGTTGACATTCTACAGGCTGATCACATAGCAAATGTCAGTAGACTGGTTCACTCCATGTTGACATTCTACAGACCGTATCACATGGTCAATGTTAGTTTACTGGTCCACTCCCAGTTGACATTCTACAGGCTGATCACATAACAAATGTCAGTAGACTGGTCCACTCCAAGTTGACATTCTACAGGCTGATCACATAGCAAATGTCAGTAGACTGGTTCACTCCAAGTTGACATTCTACAGGCTGATCACATAGCAAATGTCAGTAGACTGATTCACTCCAAGTTGACATTCTACAGACTGATCACATGGCAAATGTCAGTAGACTGATTCACTCCATGTTGACATTCTACAGACTGATCACATGGTAAATGTCAGTAGACTGGTTCACTCCAAGTTGACATTCTACAGACTGATCACATGGCAAATGTCAGTAGACTGATTCACTCCATGTTGACATTCTACAGACTGATCACATGGTAAATGTCAGTAGACTGGTTCACTCCATGTTGACATTCTACAGACCGTATCACATGGTCAATGTTAGTTTACTGGTCCACTCCAAGTTGACATTCTACAGGCTGATCACATAGCAAATGTCAGTAGACTGGTTCACTCCATGTTGACATTCTACAGACTGATCACATAGCAAATGTCAGTAGACTGGTTCACTCCATGTTGACATTCTACAGACCGCATCACATGGTAAATGTCAGTAGACTGGTTCACTCCATGTTGACATTCTACAGACCGCATCACATGGTAAATGTCAGTAGACTGGTTCACTCCATGTTGACATTCTACAGACCGCATCACATGGTCAATGTGAGAAGACTTGTTCACTCCATGTTGACATTCTTCAAGTCATATCAAATGATAGTATCCCAATTGTGTAGATCGATGCTCATGATGTCAATAACTGGATTGTCTTACCCAGACAATTATTTACAGGTTGCCTTCACAAAGCTAGAATACTGCCGAGTGCGTCGTTATACAACAAACTAAACAAGTGAGTCCAAATATTGCATTATGTTGACACCTATGATGTCATGATCAAAGGCTGATAACTCTTGTAGTGTTTTTGCTCGAGAAAATAAACTAATAAGCATCATCAAATAACTGAGACTTCATCACTGAGTGCAAAATGAGTTAATAATACTAATAATAACAATAATTGAAATAAAATTTGGGGATGGACGACACAACATGGTACTGGAGATGGACGACACAACATGGTACTGGAAATGGATGACACAACATGTTACTGGAGATGGACGACACAACATGGTACTGGAGATGGACAACACAACATGGTACTGGAGATGGACGACACAACATGGTACTGGAGATGGACGACACAACATGGTACTGGAGATGGAAAACACAACATGGTACTGGAGATGGACAACACAAAATGGTACTGGAGATGGATGACACAACATGGTACTGGAGATGGACGACACAACATGGTACTGGAGATGGACGACACAACATGGTACTGGAGATGGACGACCCAACATGGTACTGGAGATGGACAACACAACATGGTACTGGAGATGGACGACACAAAATGGTACTGGAGATGGATGACACAACATGGTACTGGAGATGGACGACACAACATGGTACTGGAGATGGACGACACAACATGGTACTTGAGATGGACAACACAACATGGTACTTGAGATGGACAACACAACATGATACTGGAGATGGATGACACACCATGGTACTGGAGATGGACGACACAACATGGTACTGGAGATGGACGACACAACATGGTACTGGAGATGGTCGACACAACATGGTACTGAGATGGACGACACAACATGGTACTGGAGATGGTCGACACAACATGGTACTGGAGATGGATGACACAACATGGTACTGGAGATGGACGACACAACATGGTACTGGAGATGGACGACACAACATGGTACTGGAGATGGACGACACAACATGGTACAGGAGATGGATGACACACCATGGTACTGGAGATGGACGACACAACATGGTACTGGAGATGGACGACACAACATGGTACTGGAGATGGACGACACAACATGGTACTGGAGATGGACGACACAACATGGTACAGGAGATGGACGACACAACATGGTACTGGAGATGGACGACACAACATGGTACTGGAGATGGATGACACAACATGGTACTGGAGATGGATGACACAGCACGGTACAGGAGATGGACGACACAGCATGGTACTGGAGATGGACGACACAACATGGTACTGGAGATGGACGACACAACATGGTACTGGAGATGGACGACACAACATGGTACAGGAGATGGACAACACAACATGGTACTGGAGATGGACAACACAACATGGTACTGGAGATCAAAACAACAACAAATCGTTGACAATCGGCAAATGATGTATACCGTATTTTCTTAAGTATAGTGCGCACCCCTCTCTAGCGGATTCAGAATTTTTTTGGGGAAAAAAATCAAATAGATCTTCCAAGCGCAGAAAAAAAATTACACCGTAGATATATCTACCCCTTTAGCGAAGTCCGGCAAACGAACGGGTGATGAGAAACTTGGTCAGTACAAATTCGAGATTTGAGAGAAAAAATCACCAGACATGTTGATTTACCGTTTAAATTGTATTTTTTGTTCTGCTAGGCATTGATTTATATCCAGGATATACCATGTGTATCTTCTCGTAAACTAAGCCGGACACAGCAATCAGCTGTACACACATTTTCTTGGAATTTACCGGTGATTCAGTCAAGACACACCCAATGATATAACTTTACAGGGTTTTAATGCAAGGATCGGCAAAAACTGTACCTGAAACTATTTTTTTATCAGGAATAATATATTCCAATATCTTGTTAATTTAGATGCAGCTTTTACTAAACATATTTGAAATAATAATAACCCTAAGCAAAGCAGCTGATTGCAATACCCGGGTATTACATGGTTTTACATGGAACCAGTCTGACCAGTCACCGTCAAGGCTCCCGCGCACGTGATCGCGTGATCGCGAGAATTACGTGTTGACATAGAATCGTCCAACAAAAACAAATATGACTTTTAACGAGTCAAAGTATGGCATTTATGACATATGTATTCATTCTCTGTCAACTAAAGTTCGCTTCAAGGCGTCAATAGCGGTAATCTGACCGTGGTTTCTGTCAATAACTGTGAGTTGTGCGATCTTCCGATCACTTCACACATGATCTCGCCGAAATTAATTAAAACAATATTAAAAGTAATTTTGAATAAAATTAATGAAATAAGTTACAAACATAAGTCCAGATATACAAAGAACACTTTTTATAGTCAGACAGTGTAATTACATGATTAATTTGCGTACTTCAGTATGGATTTGTTGACATGGTATTTCCGGTGTTACATGCTCACGGTAATGTCTTTCCATCGGGGAAAAACATCAAAACTCATTATTTTGTGTATAATGTGCACACCCTTCTACACAGCTGTGGGGTTTTTTTTAAGATAATGCGCAGTATACTCAAGAAAATACGGAATGCTTTGAATGGCGAAGCTGACATGGAAGTTTCATCGTCTGTCGACACGTTTGATAACCAAAACCTGCAACTGGCACCGGTAAACTGTCAGATGATGTTACTGACACAATGTTCTAAAGCTTGTTTGTCTGAAAAACTCAAAAGCTTCAACAACAGTTGTTCATGATATAAAACTGATTATTCAAACTAATGGATTTTGGTGTGTTTTGTTATGCAGAAGCTCAGTTAAATTACAAGTCATTACTTTTGGCTCCTTACATTTTGCCTTGGCTCCTTGAAATTCTACTTGGCTCCTTGAAAAAAAGATTTAGGAGCCAAGTGGCTCCTTTGAATTTTTTTTAACTTTGTGGCCTGCCTCTTCTCTTACCTGAATCCTCCGTCTCACTCTCCTCTGTCAGTTCAGCAGTCAGTCTTCTCTGTATTTTGGATTCAAGTTTCTTCAGTGTCTTCAACTCTAGTAAAATAACAGTTTCAAGAACACATCAAATACAGTTTTCACAAGTATAATTTTGATATGCTAGAAAGATGACCTTCACATCTATATATGGAAGACAAACCTGTCCAAACAACAAAAGCTATTTCATAGTGGGGATCATAAGATTGGTTTACCAATTGTTACTGTATATTGAAGTTTGATTATTGATAACATCATCATAAATCAATCATAAAATGCTAACCCACATTCTAAAACACTGTTAAATTGTAATGCTCTGCATGTTTGATTCCTAATCCAGTTAGTATGGTTAAATCTACAGATACCCCAGCTCTACACTGAACACACCGTGTTATTATCTCCCAGTCACGGGGAACCCTGGCAGATTAAAATGTTCATAAAGAGACAACATGAAATGATTCTATCTATTGTTTTAATGTTTCCTTCCAATCATGGAAACTCTATGGTACTTTTCAACATAACTTTTCATTTTATAGTAATGTTACATCATATAATTTTAAGACACTCTTAATAAAGATTAATAGCAACATATCACCAAAACAACAGGGGCCTGTAAATATTCAAGTCTCAACTAGATCATTTGAAGCTAAGTTGAACTTGTTGTCTTGGAAATGCAATAAAAAATAAATTTAATAAAATATTTACTCCTTAATGCATATTACTGCTTACTTTACAACAACAAAAAGACAGCACACAACGATGGTCTTGGGTTAAAAAAAAAAAGGTTGTTTCAGAGTCCCTCTCCTGATTTTTGTACTGACCATCGCTGCTGTCATGTGACCTTGATGACAAATCACCTTCCTCACATCACTGCCTGTCGCCAGAGCTTAAAAAACATACTTTTGAGGTTTCTGAAGCCAAAGTGGGGAGGCAAGTCTGCAACGGGTGGGTCCTTGAACGTAGTAATGCAGGGTAAGTATACAAATGTAAAAAATTATTTAGATTTTACAAAACTTTTCACTTATCCTGCATTACTCCTAAATGCATCTTAATCTGACGAATTGGAGGGGGGAAACCTTCAGAAAGTCCAAAAACCTTAATTATGCACACCCCAAACCAACGACACATGTTTGTCAATATTCCGTGAGGGGGGAAAATGTTCATAAAAAAACACCAATATGTTTGGGTCGTTCAAATATATCACAGATTGAACGTAGGAATTAAAGAGTAGTTCCCTACACATGTTTAGTAATAAAGAAAATATTAGCTAGGCAGCTAATTCTTTACTTACTGTGTCATAGAGCCAAGGTTGTCTAATTTTCTTCTACTGGCCGAATCTCAGTGACTTGCGCAGGGAAGTAGACTGGCTCTGTATAGGGCAAGTTCATTATTTGTGTCGGGGGTTGGTAACCTGCTGGGCTACTACCAGAGGGCCAAACTTCACACGCCTTCAATGTCCTTGAAAGCCACATCGCGATAATAATGACTAGCGAAAACTGTGTCGGACCTCCAAAACTCCTTCGATGATCATTCTAATTGAACAATTGCTGTGTAACGCCATGGTCAAGGCTAGCGCCCTGATCTGGTGACGATTATTTGCTCTCCGAGGATCCAGTTTGGTGATCTCGTAAGCCTGAAGGATGACTGCGCATAACCATATGTGTTACAACTAACTTCGGTCGTGGATAAAGGACACACAGGTATAAATAACCACTTCCTCGACCCATGCCTAGTCTTGGAACGGTGGATGAAAACTCTAAGTACTCACACCGGGCATAGAAGTTCACCCTCATCTTCCACTCCCACAATAGTCGATATTGGTGGGATGATGAAGGAACGATCGGGTTAGCCTGGTAGTTGATTTTTTGCTATAAAATCCCAGCACAACCCGAGATGTACCGCTCCGTGCGTCCCATGCTCAAAACAGACCAAGGTAATATTGATTGCATGTAGCTCGTTCATCCATGCCGTATTGACTGATGCCAAGAAAAATATAATGTTTTCTTGGTGAGGTCATAAAATGGCCTGTAGTTCCGAGACCTTAGTCATCTTGCGATTTTCCAGAACGGCCAACACTGAGGTAAGTGCAACCAAACCAGAGTAATGGTGCTATCTTTCAAGTGTGCCGACTAGCCCTTCACACTTAACGCCTTTGAAAGACAAACCAAGCATGCAGACAAAATCTGTCTGGCATTTGGTGAGGCCATTTGCTGTGAGGGCGGATGATTAGGTTGGACCACCCTCTCGCTGGCCATCAGGGTGCGACCGAAGTCAGAGCAAGATTCCTTGTCTCCTTGATCTTTTGTGTCACTTTGGGAAGTAGAACAGGTGGCGGAAAAGCATACGCTTTTAGCCCTTCCCAAGGAATGCTGAACGCATCCACTGCCCTCGTCTGCGGATCCGGAAATGGGGAGACAAACGTCATAAGTTGATAGTTTGGGCAAATAGCAAACAGGTCGGTGTTTGATTGCCCGAACTTCTAAAGCAGTAACTAAAATGCTTCTGTGTGAAGTTTCCACTCATTGGGAGCCACCCTGTCTGGACGTGATAACGCATTGGCCAATGTGTTTCCATATCCGGGGATGTGCTGAACTATGAATTGTAGTTCCAGATGATCCACTAGATGGAAAAATCTGAATGTCTGTTAAAGCAGGGAGTGGGAATGCGTTGTTTCCTGATTGCGCAGGCACCACAGCACAGTGCTGTTGTCTATGGATATTGCCAGTTGGGCTGACTGTAGTTCATTCTACCAATGTGATATGGCCAGAATTAACAATTCCAACTCCAAGTGGTTTATGTGCCAATTTCGATGAGCACCAGGCCATAGCCCTGAGGCTGTCTGGTCTTGCAGGTGAGCACCCCACCCGTGAAGGGAGGTGTCTAGGAACAGGTGTAGTATTGGGGATAACCCGGGATAAAAAGACTCATCCTCAGACATTCAACTCTACTGTCCACCAATGAGGTAAGGCCTTAGCTGGGCCGGTAGAGTGATCGCCTTGAGTGGATCCTGACGCCTGATGTAAGGGTTCAGGAACTGTAGAATTGGGCGCAGTTGTAATCGGCCTCTGCTGTTTAAGTCCTGTGGCGAAGTGAGTAACCCCAGCAACGCTTGCCATTGGTGTAGAGTGCATGGTTGGTGTAGTGCAGGTGACAAGAGGCACAAAATCTTGTGACATCTGTCCCTCGGTACTGATAGGAGATCCTGGTCTGTCTGGAACAGGCCTCCTATGAACTGAAGTCGATAGGATGGAGTAAACTCCGACTTTGCCTTGTTGATTATCCATCCCAGTTGATTTAGTAGGCGTCTGGTAAATTCCTGATGGCGTACTAGCGTCAGTATGTGTCTATGTACGACTCATGCCAAAAGTTCTTCAGGTGTAGAAACACAGTTATTGGCTTCATTCTTCATGTAAATAGCCACGGAGTCACTGAAATGCCAAATGGGAGAACTGCCCATTGGTAGTGAACTCCATTGACCTGGAACCTGAGGAGCCTACGTTCGGAGGGATGGATAGCTATATGCAGGTAGGCATCATGCAAGTCGAGACTGATCAAGGATCGAAAGCATTGATGCTGGTTCTGAGCAGTCTCAAAGTGGTGAGGCAGCAATAAGGTGGATGCTTCAGACAACGTTCGTTGAACACGGAGAGATTGCGGATCATTCTCATCTTGTCTGAGTCCTTCATGGGTACAGGCCAGCCCCCTTGGAAAGAAAATGAGACACATGTTCTAGACCCTTGAGCGCGGTCTCATCCCAAGTGTCATTGGGATTTGGGCGTGCATGTCTGCGATCTGTTCATTGAACAGGAAAGTAGATGACTAGAGTGGCCTTAAGATGGTTTCTCATGTGGTCAATTGGAAGCTGTTGGAAATTCACCATAGTTTGGAAATGATCTAATCGGATAGGGTTATCCTCTGATAGATCCTGATCCGCTGCATGCATTGACGATGTTTGTGCTGACAAAGGTATCAGTACACACCTGATTTCTATGAATGCAAATCTGGTATTTTGTGCCATAAGAGTAGTTGGCCCTCATGAGCCTGTCATCCTTTGTATCTTCTTATCCAAACAATGAGCTTGGTCTGTGACCACAACGATAGGAAGATCATCCTTCCTAAACTTGGATGGCTTAAATGACGGAGCAAGTGTAAGCTTGGAGAAGTCCTCGTCCAATGACATCTGTCAACATCGGATCCACCGGAATCGATGTAGGATGTGACCCTATGGTGTCCTCTGCTACCCAATTGGGTCCTTGCACTGAGCCAAGATGCATATTCCATTCCACAGAGGATATTCCATTTGATAAGTCCGACGAGTCAGAGGGTTGTTGGCGCACTCATCATCAGCTTCTGCTCCGGTGGTTGCCGCCTCCTCTATCAGAAGGCTTTGATGACCCGCCTGGGTCATGCGCCGATGTCCCCGTACAGGCTGGCGTACAAGCGCAGGCCAGCGATGTATGCGCTGTACCAGAACACACATCAGGCACTTGGTATACATTAGGGCCGGTGTAGGTGCTAACACTTGTGCCATAGCTGTAGCTGACGCAGGCATCTGGTACATAGGCGAAGGCAGGATACAGGTGTTCCATAGGCTGCTGCCACATGGACTGCATAAAGTTTTGAATCCAATAAGTGTTCTGGAACAGTGCTGACGCCTGAGCGTACATCTGCTGCGCTGGATAAGTCATTGGAACAGCGCTTAGCTGATCATGCGTCACCTGCATAACAGGGAACACTGTAAGCCCTGGGGCTGATGTCATTGTAGAGGCGCTTGGGTGGTAGGCAGGCGCTGCGTTCGGCGCAGTGCCATGAGATGCAATGCTCATTGGTGATGACTGGATCATTGTAGAGGCGCTTGGGGGGTAGGCGCTTGGGTGGTCTATGTGACGCGCGCGCAGACAGGAGCCGACAGTAGCAGTTACGATACTCACAATGGCCTCTCGTATTGTTAATTTCGGTGGAGGATGCACGTCTCAATGACAGGAGCCATATTAACCACCAAAAATAACGACTGCATAGGAATGACAGAAGCATGTCCATCGCTAACCTCTGGCGATTGTGACATCTTCCTCGCCACTCAACGGGATTGCTGCAAAATACGCTTGAGAGTAATCTGTCTATAGATTGCAAAAACTCGCTGGAGAGAGAGTTACAAAAACAATTACATTGAGAGTTTTGAGAGCAAATTTACGTACATGCCAAACAAGGTTGGATGAGTATCTTTGGAACAATTTCTCCACGACAATTAGTACAACACACAAACATAAGTTACGCAAAATAAAGAATTGTTGATGAAACAGAGATTTGCCATAGAATTAAACAGTATTCTATCGGCAGATTTTTTATGAGTTGAAAGTGTTTACATAGTATTGAAACACACAAACTCAATGTAACGCCAAAGCTACTAATATTTAAAAACACATGAATATGTTATACATACCTAGATGGGAATTGTAAACAATTTGACTACCTTTGCAGGCAAACAATTGTAACACAAATCCGAAATGGCGGGAAATAACGAGTATGTGGTGGGAAAAAAAGACAAAAGTCTTTTGACGCCTTAATAACCCACATAAACATGATAAAAGTACACAACTTGGTGAAAGTATTATGAAAAGAATACATCAGCCATCGCAGATAAAGTTTAGAGTTATAGCCGAAGCTGAAGGGCTAAAATTATCCAATTTGAAGAGCTGAGCTGAGCTGAGACACGTCCTTGCTGTGGCGCAACAGGGAGTGATGTGAGGTGACTTGTCATCAAGGTCACATGACAGTGGTGATGGTCCATGCAGAAAGCAGGAGTGGGACTTTGAAACAACCTTGTTTCTTCGCGCAAGACCATCGCTGTGCACTGTCTTTTTGTTGTACTAAGGTAAGCAGTAATGCAGGATAAGTAAAAAATATGAATATTCACGATTATGGAAAAGCCACCATGACAGTGATGTGTATACAGAGTATCACAAAGAAATATTGAAGTTTATCATGTTTCTGCTCTGGAAATTAACAACCCCCACATTTGACGCTAGATCAAAGTAGTTGCCTTGGAAATGCAAGAAATACAAATTTGTAGAATTCCTGAATAGCAGAAAACACACGTTCAGCAAATGCTTGATGTGTACACCTAGTTTCACTTCATTTGGATGTGGATAAAAATACAAAGGTATCACCGGTAGTACTTTTTATGTCACAGTGTTTGGGTTCATATGTAATTTTTACAATTTCAATGCTCTTACAAGTTCTGAATCCCGGGATTAAATGTTACTGTACATAAAGCATGTTTACTGTAATTTCTTGAGTATAGTGCACACTTTTTTGGAAAAAACACACAGCTGTGTATTATACATGCCATAATGAGTTTTGATGGTAAATATTCATGATCCATGGGTGTCTTTACTGTTTAGAAAATACATTAATACAAAGTAATATGCACTCCCTTAATAACAAACATTGTCACACACCTTTGTAAGTTTTGGCACCAGGAGCTTATTTAATTGTACCATTACAAGTATAACCATGCCACTGGACCTCTAATACAAGGAATATGAATACCCTGCCATATCAGCATATAAAAAGTGACATCTTTACCAGAAACGACTTTTGATGGGCAATTGTCTGGTATGGCCAGACACCAGTTATCATCGCTGTTTTTCGAGTTATTTCTAAAATTTCTAAAATAAAAGTCTAGTGTACACTACTAACTTGATTGTTGTGAAACAAGAGAAAATGCTCTCATCTTGTAGCATGCAAACAGTTTGAGTCTGTAGCTCATGTACTGGGACGAGAGGGAATAAGACGGTGATACTGGTAACCAACCAGTAGGTTATATTGTTGCAGAAGTCACGTGACTTTTAAAATATTAACCCCAACCAACGATATATGAGGATTTACAGATGATCTGTTGCAAGTGAATGAATGGTGTCAATCCTGAGCCTTTGACGAGGGACTTACAAACTTCATTCACGAGGAACAGATAATCCATCACGATGAGTTTCGAGTAGGCTATTCTATATGTTTGCGCTACTCATTCATACAATTATTTTTTAAATTCCTCCCGATAATTCTGATCATATATGATTTGAAACGGTCAGGGCTATTTATAAAGATTCTAGTTTCACCACAAGCTTTGTGACGGGTGCCAATTAGGAACAGGCAGGCAAAAAAATGTTTTGAAGAAATCCTAAAGATTAAAGACAAAGTGTTTTATTCAGCTGTACTGTAATCATTTAAAAGATTTGTTGAATTTTTTAACCACTGCAATTATCCATGACCCACGCAATTGGGATCGATGACATGCATCAACCAAGTCAGCGAGTCTGACCACCTGATCCTGTTAGTCGCCTTCAGCAATATCTACAATGTAGATATTGCATGTTATTATGCCTCAAAGTGAGATTGACCAATCAGAGAGCAGAACTATTAAATCCAAGATGGTTGTTACTGACGTAATACCGTCAGAAGCATTTTGGATTTTCCAATATTCACCTCACATATTTCACATGACTATTTTGGTACAGAAATTTGTTATTCTACACTGTTTTGTGTTTTAATATCATTAATTGTGATGTGCAAAGACATTATTTTTTAAAGAAACCATGTTCATACAAATTATAGAGACAAAAAAGCTTACAACAGAGGTCACCGAGTCACAAATAGCAACGTCATAGACCATAACATAGGATGACGTCACAAACAAGCAACGTGAAGCTAATGACATCACATAGCAATAGAATAGATAACTGGTCGTCGTTAGGGAAAAGCGGACTGGTAAAAATATTGGGATCAGCTGCGGAAGCCAGTTTTAGATGATAAAGGTTTATTTGTACCAGGGCTTGATTCAGGCACTAGATATAGCTTGCACCTGCTGCATGTTGACATCCAAATCTTGTTGCACCAGACTAAACCAGGTTGCATAGTGCATACATAATAAAATCTATTAACAATAGATGTATATAATCTGTGTCTTTAATATTCTCATAGTTTCAGTTCACTGACAAGATCGCTTTGAATGCTAAAGTGGGAAGAAACTTTACAGAAAGTATTTACCGATGAACAGTGGGTGTGATTTAATTTGATGGCAACAAGGTGTACCCAGAGTGTAGATCTGAGATGGTTTCAGTTTAGGATTATCCACTACATATCACCTTTAAATAATTACTTACATAGTATTTGGTAATAAAGGTGAGGTGAAATTGGGTTTAACATCGCGTCCAAGATTATTGCACTTATATCATGTATACAGCGACGTGCATGCACGTGTGTGTGTGGCTGCTTGTACTAGTCCGGACTGATGCCGATTTATAGTGCTAGCCCACTGAGATACCATGCCGCAGTTTAACATGAATACTCCACTCAGACACAGTATACTGACTCCGAGCCGACCAGTCCTTGTTTTAGCCCCTTAATGCCGAGCGCCAGACAGGGTAACAACAAGTACCTTCTTTTAACGTCTTTTGGTATGACGCGGCTGGGGATCGAACCCCGGACCTTCCGCTCTCCGGGCGGACATTCTACCATTAGACCATGGAGGCGGTCCTGGTTAAAAGGATTCACCAAGTTGCGTCTTCTGTAGTAAATATAGTGAAACTATTGTACATGCATTTTATGGTTGTGAATATGTTGCTCAGATGTAAGAGCTTGTTCTCAACTGGTTCACTGCATCTGTGGAAGGTAGACTTGATTTCTGTAAATAAATATTTTATTTGGATTTAAGGAGAAGAATAACAACTGTCTCAATGAAGTTTTATTACTTATCAAATTGATTGCGTTTAAACAATCACGAAAGGGTTTTCAGTTAAAGTTGAAATATATTAAACGTGTAGTTATTAGATACTACGATATGACCAAATTAATTGCATTCTCAAATTGCAATTATACAGCTTTCTATCAGTTCTGGTCTTCCTTCTACAGACTTTTCAATCCTAGCAAAGAATATTAGTATGATATCATATTAGTATGATATCATATTATTTGATTGTCTATATTTGCAATATATTTTGAATGTTTGATGTAAAGGGAGTGGATTTTGAATAATGTATAATTGTTGAAATGTTACACATTGTATTTTATTTGAAATGTGAATAAAGATTTAAATAAAAAAGATCGATTTGAATGGAATCACTTATACATACCATAAATTCTCGCGCTTTCTTGTCATTATCATAAGATTCATTTGATGACATTAAGCCCAAAGGACAAAGTCAAATTACACATAACACTGGGTATAGTGATGTAGTATGGTAAATAATGTGTACTGATTTCAAAGACTGATGTTGTCAAGGTTGTGTAGAAAACGTTCTTAATAGGTCAGTCACAATTTATTTTAAATGTTGACATGCACTGGTTGCATTTGTCAATATGAGTTTGCACTTGTGTGTGATCCCTGTTGTACAGAAGCTTAATTATAATACCACAGTGGGTCATTACACTCACTGTTGCTATACTAAAAGAAAATTACATTTCATTTATTTATATCAATTTTTATACAATAAACTGAAAATTAATTTAATTATGGTGATTTTGTTTGGCCTATAAATCCATTCATATTTGTCAGCCGTTATATATCTAACTAATACAACTGGGATAGCCGGAAGCCAATGTAGATTGTACCGTCACGGCATCAGGATGAGCAGAAGTAGTTTTCAACCAACCTAATTGAAACTCATAAAAATAATAATAATAATAATTAAATGCAATTCTAACACATACACTTTCGCTTATAACAGGAGAGATAGTTTACTGTAGGTGGGGCGTATTTGCTCACTGATCTTGGCGTATTGGTTTCTACGTGAGTTTCCCCCCACTGTTTAGTGTTTACATCACTTCATGCAGTTCATCTCGCTGCTCGGGTTAGGACGTACGTTACCTTATAGTCAATAATTTGTATCACCATCGAGACAAAGATTACCTTTTACATCAAGACGACCTCCCTTAATCAATGTTTGAATTTGTCTCAGCTTTTGCTTGTCTTTAAGTGTGGGACCATCATCAGACTGTGCCATCTTCGAACACGTGTTGTAAATAGCTGGCTTACATTTGTGTATAGCAATCAAAACGGACCAGCACCAAAATGGGCTTGGAAGTTATTGTCAAAACGGCTAAAATGTGCAGGCCCACTTGAACAAAACAGTTGAAGCGCTACGACTATTGCAACTCTCATATACTTAAACATGGACTTGTAATGCTTCAAACATTTCCGTCAGAGTGGACAATGGATATGCAGAAGATCATTCACATAATACTACATAGATCTAGTCGGTCTTGCTGGCCTCGCCTCTGTTGTGCGTGTCCTTCGGGTGAGCAGTTCCATCTACGTTGTTGTTGTTTGTTTGTTTATTAGATTGTTATAGGAATAGTACCATTCATTACTCTTATGGGTGGAGCCAATGCGTGGATCGATGCTCGTGGTGTCAATCACTGGATTGTCTGGTCCAGACTCGATTATTTACAGACCGCCGGCATATAGCTGGAATATTGCTGAGTGCGGCGTTAAACAACAAACAAACAAACTAAAGTAAAGTGCAAATTCTAGTATTTTGCGACTTTTTATATTTGTATTGTTATAATTAGTTACATGGTCCTGTGCTCTAATATTCTCCGAGTGAGGCACCTATAATCACCTGCACAAAAAGTCAGCGATCTAATCCACTCAGCCACCGAGGCTTCCACCGAAATCTCCAGTTTATTGACGGTATCCGAGCACGTAGACCCTTTCGTGGAGTGACAGCACCGACGTGACAGATTGAGTTGGGCCAGCAGGGTACGCCGTTGACAAGTGCGGGACAGGAGACGAGTTATATTTTGTTTAGAGCTTACTGTCGTCGAGATGTATATACTGATGTCAAGGTAAACGCCTAGCGCCGATCTGTGTCCAGGAAGATGAAGCGTATGGAGGGGATGGTGTCATGGTGTTGATGCACGGGGTAGACATGCTCGCAATTAATCCAGTGTCTATACTGACTTTGCAGATATTTTTTATACTGTTGTTGGACAGATGTTTTGACAGTAACATTGTGGATCATCACATTTTGACCCCCATGTGTGTCTCTGGGTCACTGTTATTCGAACAGTTTCTGCTTTTTTTAAGTGTATTCTTTTTCACAAGGTGTGAAAACACGACTCTCATTAATATATACTCAGCACACAAAAGAGAAACGCAGAACGGTTCTGTGCTTGTTGTTGACGTGCATCACATACATGTTCGATTGGGTTGAAATTTTGAGACCTCGAGGGCCATGGCAGGACCTGGAAGTTGTGATTCCTTAAAAAGACCGTTGTCGGTCTTGCCGTGTGAGGTCGGGCGTTGTCTTGTTGGAAAATAATGTGCGCTTGTTGCATAATGGGACGGACGTGTGACCGAAGAATCCCATCCGTGTAACGGGGGGTTTGCTGGGTGGGGTGGGGGTTGTAAAGGAATGATAAATAATAATAATGTGGAAAAGTTGGGCTTTGGTGGGGGGAGGGGGTCAAGCGTGGGAAGGCACGGCGTCGGCTGGCGAGCTGGTGTGGCGAAGGAAGTTACTGCTCCTGGAGGAAGAGCTCGGAACAGTGCGGTGGTGAGGCGGGCGGCGGCGTTGGTGATGAAGAGCGGGCTGACTGGGAGATCACAGTCGACCAGGAACTCCGAGAGGGGTTAGGGTGGACCTTGTGCTGCTCCAGGATGAGTTCTGCCTGCTGTGCAAGGTGGGCACGGACGTCTACCTCAACATCTTGTTCCGGAACCGGGTCGGTTTGGACTTTGCTGGTGTTGAGGGAGGGGCCTGGTGTTGTGGCGGTCTGCGTTTCCGGGGGGGGGGGGGGGGGGGGAGAGTCAGGGGAGAAGATACTTTTCCTCTGTCTCTTTTTCCTCCCGTGGCCAGTCCCTACCGGCGTGCGAAAGGGCTCCTCCCCTCTGGATTCGAGAGGAGCGAGTTCCAGTGCAGCTGTCGGGGGCGGAGGGGTGGTGGGAAGGCTCTCCTGGATCTCCATGGGGGTGATTGGTGGAGCCTTCTTCACTGTAGGCGGCCTGGCCCTCTGTACCGGGCGTGGTGCAGCAGGGGTAGGGCCCGGGGTCTTCTTCTCCTTAGGCTTGGTCTTGGCCGGAGCCTATACCAGAGGCCTTTTCCTTTGGCCTAGGTCAAAGGAGATTGAGAGGGTGGATGAGTTGGACTTGTACGAAGTCCGGAGGGAGTAGTCCCCAACCCTGTAAGCCAGCAAGGGTTCCAGGATGGCAACTAGCTCCCTAGGTAGCGATAGAGCGATATCTCTCATAGTAGAGCGTGGGTTGCGAGCTAGGAAGGACACGTCTGCACGGGGCGAGTGTCCAAGCCTGAGCTCTAGAAGATATACGTGGTCGACCGGATCTGAGAAGGTCCCGTGTGTCTGATGACGGTTCGACATTCCTGGGATAGTGCTTGGTGCTACGTGAAAAAACATGGCTACGGCCGAAGAGGAATCGCCTGTTTGCAGTCAGCCGATGGCGTTGATGCGTTGGGTTTCCGTCAGTCATAGCATGTTTTCGCTGTTCACTTGCTGTAGGAATGTGATGGCATGCAAATGAAAACCCAACGTTTTTATAGCCCAACAAGTGATGTTGCACGTGCAGGCATGTCATGTTAGTATGTTTCGGCGCCAGGCTATCACGTGGTCGTATTTTTGCTATTTTTCCATCGTTTCACCAAATTTCTGCAGTATCTCATTTTTACCACACAAATCAATGCCAATCCATGCAGAAATGATGAATTCATTTTTAGTATTAGATTTGCATGGGTATCAGCAACAGTCTATCAGATACTTAAGATTATACTACTTTTGCGGGGTTTTTTTCGCCGAGTTTATATATATGTCTTGAACATGCAATTTTTTTTGGTTTTCTTTAGCAGTTACCCGGAGTATGAGTAGAGTCCATATAGCCGTCAGTGTAGAAGACACCCAGAGTATATACTGACACGTGTTTTACCGACAAAGTGTGTGCTGACACGTTTCATACCGACAATGTGTCTTTATTACGATGGACACCAATGTGTATATACTGACACCTGTTATAACGACATTGTGTCTTTCTTGCAATAGACACCAATGTGTATATACTGACACCTGTTATAACGACATTGTGTCTTTCTTGCAATAGACACCAATGTGTATATACTGACACCTGTTATAACGACATTGTGTATTTCTTGCAATAGACACCAATGTGTATATACTGACACCTGTTATAACGACATTGTGTCTTTCTTGCAATAGACACCGATGTGTATATACTGACACCTGTTATAACAACATTGTGTCTTTCTTGCAATAGACACCAATGTGTATATACTGACACCTGTTATGAGGATGCTCATATACTGAAACGTGTCAGTCCAGCTGTATGTATTTCTTGCAATAGACACCAATATGTATGTACTGACACCTGTCACACCAACTATATGTATTTCTTGCAATAGACGCCAATGTGTAACTGACACGTGTTATAACGACATTTTGTATTTATTGCAATAGACGCTAATGTGTATATATTGACACATGTCAGACCAACTACATATATTTATTGCAATAGACACCAATGTGTATATTTTGACATGTGTCAGACCAACTACATGCATACATCTCCACCTGTTGCATGGCATATTTCAAAATTCCAAATTTGTTCTCCAAATTAAGGAAGCAACCCCCCTCCCTCTATTGGCCCAAGCCCCTTATACTCAGTGACACAGTGTCTTATGGGACTGTCCAGCTTGCATTTACACTTGTATTGAGTTTGCATTGAAGCAAGTTCTCCTTTCATCGCTGAAACAATTTCGTCATTCATCACAGTTTAGTTTATGTGTGAATTGTATATCTATGTGCTTGGAAAGACCTAATTAGGGTCTATTATGACACATGCAGCGTAGTCAGCTGATACTGAAAATATATATTTATTTATTAGGAGGGCTGAAGTTAACTGGAAGATTTCAGTTTTTATTCAAATGTAAGAAAAATCCTTAATTTTCTATTCTGTTTGAGTTAAAACACTAACTGAACGTTTTGGTTTATGCATCTGTCAGAAGCAGAAACGGGATTTTTTCATCCCTTCTTTAGGTCTTTCCAAGCGCAACACATGTGTTTGATAATTGATCATGTAAAGGCGTCCCCTTATGATGATATGTTTTCAGATGAAACAGTAATTTGGTAAACATCAAGCTCTTAATTGATCTAGAAGTTAGGTTTTGTTAAATCGTTTTGATAAATGAAACTGCCACTGGTCTGAAAAAATGTGCTCTACTTTGGCCAAATTGGCTGGTCCATTTTGGCTACAGTCCGTTTTGACTGGTATGTTTTGATTTGCGAGGGCGATAAAACACTCCACGCATCGTTATCGCTGGGCTGTTCATCAGCTCCTTGCAGGGACATTGATACCTCTGCCCATCAGTACGCGACCAATGTGAAATTGTAACGCGCTGGATTGGAGTTTGCAACGACTAGTATTTTCCATGTTTAGCGCTGTTCTTTTCTGATTAACAGACAGACCCAGTTTTGTAACTACGCTATTTTTGTTTGAAAATGGCGTCTGAGATTGACACAGGTTAGTCTGCTGATACTTCAAAAAGACGCTTTTTGTCCTAGTAGGTCCCTTATTCCGTATAATATATTGACGCGTTATTTATACAATCCCCAGCCGTAGATGGCAGAATACTTCCATCATTCCTTTTCAGTGCCGTGACCTGCTGGTTCATTTACTAAAATCCCCGTGTTGTGGGTTTTTGGACGCTTAAGAAACGTCCGTAGATTTCTCTCTAATCACATGGACAACTGTAAAACACCCCGTTCACTTATAGAAGACAACTTTCTCTTTAAAAACAAGTCATCTTCTGAGTATTTAAAATGTCTGTGTGATGCTACAGATGTCTGAGTCATGCAGTTTGTAACATCACCATGTACATGTGCTATGTCCAGGACATGGCAGTTTATAACATCACCATGTACATGTGCTATGTCCAGGACATGGCAGTTTATAACATCACCATGTACATGTGCTATGTCCAGGACATGGCAGTTTATAACATCACCATGTACATGTGCTATGTCCAGGACATGGCAGTTTATAACATCACCATGTACATGTGCTATGTCCAGGACATGGCAGTTTATGTCATCACCATGTACATGTGCTATGTCCAGGACATGGCAGTTTATGACATCACCATGTACATCTGCTATGTCCAGTACATGGCAGTTTATGACATCACCATGTACATGTGCTATGTCCAGGACATAGCAGTTTATGACATCACCATGTACATGTGCTATGTCCAGGACATGGCAGTTTATAACATCACCATGTACATGTGCTATGTCCAGGACATGGCAGTTTATAACATCACCATGTACATGTGCTATGTCCAGGACATGGCAGTTTATGACATCAGCATGTACATGTGCTATGTCCAGGACATGGCAGTTTATGACATCACCATGTACATGTGCTATGTCCAGGACATGGCAGTTTATGACATCACCATGTACATGTGCTATGTCCAGGACATGGCAGTTTATAACATCACCATGTACATGTGCTATGTCCAGGACATGGCAGTTTATAACATCACCATGTACATGTGCTATGTCCAGGACATGGCAGTTTATGATATCACCAAGTACATGTGCTATGTCCAGGAAATTGCAGTTTATGACTTCACCATGTACATGTGCTATGTCCAGGACATGGCTGTTTATGACATCACCATGTACATGTGCTATGTCCAGGACACACAGTATGGTACTTTATTCCTGCCATTAACGGGAAGAGGGGAAATCTTCCTGTCCATTGGTCGGTCTGTCTGTCTGTCTGCCCAAAATAATCATGTAGGATAAAGGCTCCATTGGGAGATATTGAAATTGAAAGTTTTCAGGGTAAGTTTGAAAATTATTTTTTTATTCGGTATCATAATTTACCTTTAGTATTCAGCACCACAAAGTTTAGAAACACATCAAAATACGAGATGACATAATTTGTGAAATTTTGCTGCAAAATTTACCAGTGAAACAATGCCCTGTGACATCAGCCTAGCAACAAGGTCGTCTTATTGACATGTGACCTACTGCAGAGATTTTCTTCACAAGAAGTCGTGGTGCTGAATTCTAAATGTGCTTCAAATGCTTGATTCAAAGTTGTTTCTACATAAGCATGCTGTTTCGGCAAGGCTTTAGTTGTATGTTACATTTGTTTTAAGGAACTGACAATGTTTGCTTCAATATTTTTAAAATATGACCCCAAATTGACAGATTTTGGTGAACATTATTTTGCATTAGATGAGAGAGAAATAATGACCATTACTTGGCGTCCCTCCACAGGACCTCCTCCTCCCCTGGAGGACATGAGCCATGTGTTGCAGCAGCAGCTTCACCCAGGCAGCCGTCTCACATCACCACCTCCCTCTTCACATGATGATAAACTTGTGGACACAGTTCTGGTTGGTCTTTAAATCTCAGTTATATATTGAGTATGTAGATGAGTTTTAGTTAGGTTTTCCTCTCCCAATTCCAAGGTCAAACAGCTGATTCCTACAATAAATGACAGGTCTCTTAATTCACATGTCAGATTTAGAAAACAAGAAGTAAATTGGATAAATATCTTCTCCCTAGCCTGCAAGGACTGATGAGCAATCAAGAACAAAAGCAAGAGTCTCTACCAGCAAAAAAGTGTCTTCAGCCAGCAGTGGGTGTTTCGGTGGGCTCAAGAAAGGCTTCCTGTCTGCCAGCCCTCCCTCTTCAACACACACTAAAGCACACAGGACAGTGTCAGAGGAAGATCAGATGCCATTTCTTCAAAAGAACTCACAAACAAACTCCTTACACCTTCCTGAGGTTGAGCAAGCAATGAAACAAACACACTCATCATTTGATAACAAAGGTAGATTTTTTACTTATCCTGCATTACTCCTTAATGCATATTACTGCTTGTTCTTGACAGAGAAAAGAGCTGTGTGAAGGTCTTTGCTTGAAGAAGTTGTTCCAACTAGCTGAGAGGCCAACCCCATCTTGCAGCTCCCACGTGACCAAAGGAAGTAACATCACGGATCCTCACATGACTCTTGTCACTTGCTGAGAGAAGACCTGTTTTTGATCTGTAGCATAAACTTGTTCAAACCCTTATGTGTTTTGCTTCTTGAGTTAATGTTCATTGTGCTTGTGTTGTGCACATGGTTTGTATCTTGTGAAACATTGTATGTTTTAACATGTGCATAACTTTTGTACCCTGCTGGCGTTTTCTTAAGAAAGAAAACAATAAATGGTAAACCCAGGTGCCTGTTGTTTCAAGTAGCCATCTTGAATATTTTACGTGGCGAGTTATTAACTGGCTTGCGTTCTATATTCTTCTTGCTTTGTACCCCACCATTGGCTCTCCCTCGCAAGTATTTTGTCTTCGTTTTGTATGTTGTCTTACGTTTGTCGTAATAATTGTTTTATAAACCCACACAGTGGGATAAACAAATTATAGCATACATAATCCGGAGGGGACGTATTGTGATTTGACACTGCTTCATTGCAGATATCATGCCCTTATCCTCAAAGTGCCGGCGTAATATGTCGGCGTGGAATCCCCACCCCCTGTGCCTTAATTGTACATCTAAATGTCCCCAGGGTCATAGATGTAGAGACTGTCTCCGCTTTCCCCCACAGCTTTCAGACGGTACCTCCGTATGTCCAGGAAACGGAGAACACAACAGGCCAGGAAAACACACCGGCGCCAGATGTCTGACTTATCCGAGTATTCGCCCACAACCAGATCGGCTATCTCGGACGACAACTCCCCGACCTCCATTACTACCATGATGTCGGGCCCCATGGTCTCAGTCTCTACCCAGAGCTTCCTGACGACCACAACTGCGTCTATCTTAACGGTGCCTATCCAGTCCACCAGACAGACGCATGGCTCCCAACAGGCACCCCGTCTACGGCCCCGATGCCTATGATGGACACCCCTCTCCTCCAGTACATTCAGTATTCAACAGAATCGTCATATGCTTACGGGTACCCAACTGGGTCATCGTTCACAACACCAGACCAGTCGTCACTCTTTATCATGGGGATCAATTTGCCCCTACACCGGCAACGTCACAGTTCCTACTCAGAACTCGGACACACCACTGGTCTGTCAACCACAGGGTTCACAGGGGATTGGCCGTGTGTGGAGCTTGAACTAGTCCACTACGCATACAGGGTTACAGTTTTCTGCGCAGGACGACATACATGTCCCGTGTCAAGAACTACGACTGTAAACATCGTCGACCGTAATCAGGTCAACTGACCTTATGGGATCTGTGCAGTGTATTTGTACAGACTGGCTTGCATGATCGCTTATGCGTAACACTGCAACCACTCGACCAGACGCCTGTCGCTGTACATCAATGACTCAATCCCGAGTCTCAGCCTTCGCCCGAGACGAGACAGCTCTCAAGACCTAGGCTAGGGTGTCACAGCCAGCCTTCGCTGAGGCGTCCCAGTCTGGCTCATAGCAGCCGCGACGCAACACCTTCCAGCCCCAGTGGCGCGGCACCACCTCAACCTCTCGGGGCAGAGGAAAAGGCAAGGTATCGGGCGCATAACAGTCCCACCGCGGCCACTCCAAGGGAGGTAATGTCGACTGCAGGGACTTCAAGTGAATAGCCAGACAGGCACGACTGGGACTTCCACCCCCAGTCGTCCAAGTTGTTGACACTCCATTACGTGGGAGACTGGGTCGTTTCTGGCAGAATTGTGGGATCCCGGGGGACCCATATGTCACCAACATCATCCAACATGGGTACAAGCTGGCGCTTATAGACAACCTGCCGCTACCTACCCCCCTACTCAACAGCAGCTACCAAGCCAGTACTAACCAAGTACATCTCGGCGCTGCTGGACAAGAAAGCGATAGAGGTTATAAACGCCCCAGCCATAACACCGGGCTTCTTTTGACCTGTCTCCCTTGTCCCCAAGAAGGACTCAAACACAGGATGATCCACAACCTCACCGCTTTTAACAAGCGCTACCTGGCGGGTCCACCTTATTTCAGGATGACCAACTCAGGCTGCTGCGATCCCGGATCCAGGCACAGGATGTATTCATCAGCCTGGATATGGAGGACGCCTATCGACATGTCCCTATACATCCCGACGACCGGGTCCATTACCAATGGGCGGTTCCCCCATTTGGATTTTCTTTGGCACTGTGGCTACTCACACGGCTTACCAAGCCGATAGCCTCATACCTCCATCTCTGGGACATTCAGTTCGAGGCATATATAGACGACTGTCTCCTGAATAATTAGGACCTTGATCTCTTCTCTGTATCCAGAGGCCGGTGGGAGCGCATGCAGGCGCACCTGACTCCAGCTCTCTACCTACCACGCACTTTGCTCCAATGGCAAGTCGCCCTGGACCTCCTAACCTCAGCGCAGGACTTGACCTACAGAGGAAGGCTCCAACTGCGCCCAGTTCGGATGTTCCATCGTCCTCCCCGATCATCTCATGCAGAATCTCCGGTGCTGGACGGTGGAATCGAATGTCTTAGAGGGCGTCTCCTTGACAGGGCTTACGACCTCTCTGCGCCTATTCGTAGACCCACCCCTGCAGTGATGGGGCACACACCTGGAGGGACAGATCGCCTCAGGGCTGTGGTCCGCCGATCAGCGCCTATGGCACATCAACAACCTCGAACTGGAGGCGCTTATCTTGGCCATCGCTCACTGGAAGCAGGCCCTCAGACTCGCTGGGTTCTCCATCTCGATGCACAACATAACCGTCGTATGGTGCCTACGGAACCAAGGAACAACTCATTCGACCTTGCTCCTTCAACAGATTGTTTCACTTGGTGGAGATCGGCGCATGACGTAAATTCCAGAACTACAGGCTCTGCTCCGCTCATTCAGGCTGGAAGACCAAAAGGCGAAATCTCGTACACCAGCTTGGGGCTTAAATGTCATTCACACCTCGCTGAGAGACGCGCCCTTCGAGCCACTCGAAGCCACGTCATCCTACAATCTGATGAAAAATGGTCTTCCTACTGGCGCTCGCCACAGCAGCCCATGTCAGTGAGCTACACACCTTGGACGTGACGCTTGTCCGCTTTGAGCATGGAGCACACGGAGCTGTGCATCTTGGACTGTGCTGGGACTGCTTCGCAAAGAATCAATTCCCATGACAGCCAGACAGATCGTTCCTCATCCCTCCCCTAGCTTCGATTGTGGACGCGGAAGATGAACTAGAGCTCCGTCTATATCCGGTTAGAGCGCTCCATTGCTATATCAGACGGTCCAAGGAACGCCATAGACAACGACGACGTCTCTTCATTCCGTCATACAGCTGCGACCTCGCAAGCGGAAGGTAGCCGCAACACGATCGCCCTCTGGTTACGAGCCTTCATTCTCCAGGTCTACGAGGCCGCGGGATTGGACCCCCAGGCTCCAACAACCCACATGAGACCCGGGCGATCGCCTCTACCATGGCGCTACACAGCAACTGAGCTCTACTTGCCATCATGGAGAGGTGTTCTGGCGATCAAACACATCCGTCGCCAGTCACCATATGCGAGATGTTGGAGGATGTGCTAGGCATGCACATCTTGGTCCATTAGTAGTGCCCAACAGGCTCCTCTACTACACATCTCTGACCTTGCCTCCAAGTCCAGAGCCAGCCTTTCAAAGTCCCCTGGCGTAACCGAGAGTTACTGCGCAGTACCACAACGCATACCTGACTCTTCCCCTCTATGTAATGGTCATCCAGGTCGACCATACAGCCGAAGACGGGCTGAGGGAAACAGAGTTTCCTATACATGAAGTGGTCACCCGAAGCCGACCACACAGCCAAGGATTGGCTAGGGAACAGAATCTGGAAATAAAAGATGAAAGTCCACATCTGAAGGTATGCCCACCTCAGGTTCTGTCCGATAAAGATGCATTAAGGAGTAATGCAGGATAAGTAAAAAATCTAGTAATATTTTTTATATTTGTATACTTATCTTGCATTACTGCGTCTAAAGGGACCCACCCATCGCAGATCTACCTCCTCAAGATGCCTTCCGATGTCCGGACTCCAGAGTAATGTGAGGATCTGTGACGTCACTTACTTTGGTCACGTGGGAGCTGCGTGATAGGGTTGGCCTCTCAGCTAGTTGGAACAACTTCTCCAAGCCTTCACACAGCTCTTTTCTCTGTCAAGAACAAGGAGTAATATGCATTAAGGAGTAATCCAGGATAAGTATACAAATATAAAAAATATCTAGGATTTTACTAGACATGATATTTGCAACTGATGTTTATGCAAACACTTTCTCTGTCGTGGGGACAGAATAGGTTAAAGGGGAGTTAAAACTGTATGATCATATAGTGATGGTTTGACCAGATGATTTTGGTTTTGTTTACAGATTTTGAATGTGATAAAATGGATTTTCAGGATCTTTTTAGCATCTTAAACTTTGATTTGGATTGGTAGGTGATCTTGGCCTGGTGTTGGTCTTTATAAATATTACAAATCTAAAATCTGACCGTCGGCGGTATGAAAAACCTTGTCATTCTGATTTTTTTCTTCATAGTTTTCAGCTTTTAAGATCAGCCAATCTGTAAACCAAGCCAAACAATGTAAGGCCTTATCATAACCCTCTCTATTGTTCCTAATGGGAATAAGGCCTTATCATAACCCTCTCTATTGTTCCTAATGGGAATAAGGCCTTATCATAACCCTCTCTATTGTTACTGATGGGAATAAGGCCTTATCATTCCCCTCTCTATTGTTACGGATGGGAATAAGGCCTCATTATAACCCTCTCTAGTCTTCATCATGGGAATAAGGCCTTATTATAACCCTCTTTGTGTTCATCATGGGACCAAACTACATGTGATTCATCTTCCATAATAGAATCAGTTATGGTTTC